TCTGTTAAACAGTAAAGTACTGTATAGATAAAATGATATTAAAAAATAGTTACCAAGTGTCATCATGTAATATGGCTGAAAATCCTAACTGTGTGGAACTACTTGTTTTCTATGAAAATGGTCTAAAGATTAATTAGTGAGAAATGATATAAATTTAGAAAACCCTTCAATAAATACATGAATCGCAGATAGAGAGTAGTCTCCACCTGCTGAAACTAAAGAAAGTCCTTGTGCAGTAACAACAACCTGACACAGCCAAAAATAAATATTTTTAAACAGTATAAATTGTGGTATATTTCTATAATGAAATATTATACAGCAATGGTAATGAACCACCTACAGTTATACAAAACAACAGGGATAGAATCTCACATGATAAAGAAGTCATTTATTACATTTTGCCTTGTATGAAAGTGGTTTCTTCTGCACAATACTGAGTAATGTTTTAAAGCAGCAGTTAATAAACTTTTGTCTTGTAATCCCTCAATTATTGTGGGTTACATCTATCAATAATCACTATATCTGAAAATAAAACTGAGAATTAAAAACACTTGTGATGGATACAAACTTTTGTAAGGAAATAAAAACCAAGTCTGCAAATTCATGCCAGACACTACCATAGAACAGTTGGCCCCTGTTCCTTGGATGACGAGACAGGAGTGCATTCCTGGGATGCATAGGATATCTCCTACAGAGCTACTTCTCCAGAATCAGGAAATGTAACTAAACCTACCACATACATAAAAATACAAAGAGAAATGTAGACAAAATGAGGCAACAGCAGAATGTTTCAGACAAAGGAACAAAACAAAACCCCAGGAGAACAGGTGATGTAGATAGAGATAGGCAATCCACCCAAGAAAGAGTTCAGAGTAATGATTGTAAATATGATCAAAGAATTTGGGAGGAAAATGGCTACACAGAGCAATAAACCAGAATTTTTCAAGAAATAATTAGAAAGTAATAAAAAACAACCAAAAAGAGGTGAAGAATACAACTGAGATGAAAAATTCACTAAAAGGAATCAATAGTAGACTAAATGAGATAGTATTATCGATAAATGAGCTGAATGACAAAGTATGGAAATCACTGCCACCAAGCAGAAAAAAGAATGAACAAAAATGAAGACAGTGTAAGAAACCTCTAGAGCAACATCAAATGCACTAATGTTTGCATTATAGGGGACACAGAAGAAGAAAGAAAGAGAAAGGGTCTGAGAAAATATATTAAGAGATGATAGCTGAACACTTCCTTAAACTGGGAAAGGGAACAGTCACCCAAGCCCAGGCAGAAATGACAAAAATTAAAGATAAACAGAATATTAAAAGCAATAAGGGAAAAGTAACAAACAACATAAAAAGGAATTCCTATAAGGCTATCAGCTGATTTTTTAGCAGAAACTGCAAAAAAAAAAGGAGTGGCACAATATACTTAAAGTGATGAAAAAATTAGGAAATGGAAAAGCTTACTGGTAAAGGCAAATATAACATAAAGGCAGGAAATCATCCATACACAAAGCTACTGGAGGGTGGGGTAGACAAAAGTAGCAACATTTCTGTATCCACAATAAGCAGTTAAGGGACCCATAAAACAATTAGATGTAAGATATAAAACCAAAAACAGTAATCATGAGGGGAGCAGAGTATAAAATGCAGGGTATCTAAAACTTATCTGAAAGAAATCAGCAACTTAAAACAAGCATGTGTGTATGTATAGAGAGAGACCACTATACAAAAACCTAATTATAACTGTAAAACAAAAATCTATAATATATTCACACACAAAAAAGGAATTAAAACACAACACCAAAGATAGTCATCAAATCACAGAAGAGAACAAAAGAAGAAAGGCAAAAAAGGACCTAAAAAACAAATCCAAAAAACAATGAACAAAATGGCAATATGAGCATATATACTGATAATTACTTTAAATGTAAATGAACTAAATGCTCCAACCAAAAGACAGACTGGCTGAATGGACACAAAAACAGGACCCATGTATATGCTGCCGAAGCCTGGCGGGCTACAGTCCAAAGGGCTGCGTACAGTCAGATAGGACTAAGTGACTGAGCACGAGGCACATGTCAGATCTCGAGACACACACAGACTGAAAGAGAGGATATGGGAAAACGTATTCCAAGCAAATAGAAATCAAAAGAAAGTCAGAGTGGCTACTCGTATCAGACAAAATAGACTTTAAAGACCGTGACTGGGAATTCCCTAGTGCTCCAGTGGTTAGGACACCATGCTCTCACTGTCGAGGGCCCAGGTTCAATTTCTGGTCAGGGAACTAAGATCCCACAAGCTGAGTGGTGTGGCCAAACCTCCCCACCCACTCAAAACAAAAAAACAAAAAACACCAAACCCACCAAATATAATGATCAAAGGATCAACCAAGAAGATAGAACAATTATAAATATATATATGCACCCAACACAGGAGCAATATACAAGGCAAATGTTAACATATACAAAGAACCTTAATACTCTACTTAATGAACACATCACCCAGACAGAAAATCAATAAGGAAATACAGGTCTTAAGTAACAAATTATACCAGATGGACTTAATTGATATTTATAGGGCATTCTATCTGAAAGCAGCAGGATACTCACTCTTTTCAAGTGCTAATGGAACATTTTTCAGGACAGATCACATGCTGAGCAATAAAGCAAGCCTTGGTAAATACAAGAAAACTGAAATCATATCAAGCATCTTTTAAAACACAAACACAGAGAGGTTAAACAATATGCTACTAAACAACCAATGAGATCACTGAGGAAATCGAAGAGGAAATTAAAAAATAATACCTAGAGACAAATAAAAATATGACACCCCAAAACCTATGGGTTGCAGCAAAAGCAGTTCTAAGAGGGAAATTTACAGTGATACTACTTTACCTCAGATAATATGAAAAATCTCAAATAAACAACCTAAGCTTACACCTAAAGCAGCTAGAGAATGAAGAAAAAACAAATCCCAAAGTTAGCAAAAGGAAAAAAAGCATAAAGATCAGAGCAGAAATAAATGAAGTGGAGATTTAAAAAAATGACCAATGAAACTAAAAACTGGTTCTTAGAAAGGATAAACAAAACTGATAAACCTTTAGTCAGACTAATAAAAAAAGAGAGACGGCCCAAATCAATAAAATAAGAAATGAAAAAGCAGAAGTTACAACCAATACCACAGAAAAACAAAAGAACTGTAAGAGACTATTAGGAGCAACTATATGCCAACAAAAGGGACAACCTAGAAGAAACGGACAAACTCTTAAGAACATACAACCTGCCAAGACTGAACTACGAGGAAATAGAAAATATGAGTGGGCCAATTACCAGTAATGAATTAAATAAGCAGTTAAAAAACTCCCAACAAATAAAAGTCCAGGACCAGGGGTGGCTTCACAGGTGAATTGCACCAAACATTTAGAAAAGAGTTAACACATATCCTCCTGAAATTATTCAAAAAACTTGCAGAGGGGCGAACACTTCCAAACTCATTCTATTAGGTGACAATCACCCTCATAAAGATATTACCAAAAAATGAAAACTGCAGGTTAATACCACTGATGAACACAGATGGGAAAATCCTCAACAATACTAGCAAACCAACTCCAACAATACTTTAAAAGGATTATACACCGTGAATATCATAAATCAATCAATGTAATACATGACATTAACAAACTGGAGAATAAAAACCATATTATCATCTCAATAGACACATAAAAAGCTTCTGATAAAATTCAATATCTGTTTATGATAAAAACTATGTCTACCAAAGGGGAAAGTGGGAGGGGCAGAGATTAAGAATTTGGGGTTTACAGATACACAGTACCATGTATAATACAGATATACAAAAAGGACCTGCTGCATAGCACAGGGAACTAATATTCAATAATTTGTAATAACCTATAATGGAAAAAAATCTGAAAAAGAACATAACTGAAGCACTTTGCTGTACACCTGAAACTAACACAACATTGTAACTTTAAGTCAAAGTGTTAGTCCCTCAGTCCTGTCTGACTCTTTGTGACCCCATGGGCTGTAGCCCGCCAGGCTCCTCTGTCCATGGAATTCTCCAGGCAAGAATACTGGAGTGGTTTGCCATTCCCTTCTCCAGGGGATCTTCCCAACCCAGGTCTCCCACATTGCAGGCAGATTCTTTACTGTCTGAGCCACCAGGGAAGCCCCTCTTTTGCAATTGTCTCTGCTATATAACTTAATAAAAGAAAAGAAAGCTGGACTCTTCTGCATTTAATGTGTTGCAATATCCTCATCATATAATCTCTAGAAAATTTCATTGAACAATCATGTGAGAATTAAGAGTCAAAACATAAGTAATACTCTAATATTATTATGAAAACGGTTTTCACCTCCTGGGCTTCCTGAAAGGGTCTTGAGAAATCCAAAGGGTCACTAAATACACTTTGAGAAATGCCAAGTTGTGTGAATCATCTTTATCACATAAGAGGCTAATATGCAGGAGCACAGTGTGCTTTTAGTTGAGGTAAATCTTGAGGAATTCAATTTACAAACATTAAGAACTGGTAGCTCTTCTCTTACATATACTGAGAGTTGAACCCTCCCAGGTGTCAATGGAAGAAAATCTCTAACTTATAGCATGGATTTGCCTTTCGGTATAGAAAAAAAATTATGTGTACCTTGAAAAATCCTAAAGATACTGTATTTGTATGAGGAAACAACGCACCAGGCACTGAATATATTATTAAGTAACAAAACTTGGTGGAACCTCAGTGGATCTGTTGAAACTCAGTTTTAAGACAAATTCAAAGTTGCTTAAAGGAATTAAACTGATAAACATTATCCACAATTGAAACCCATGATTCAACAATATTGTACAAATTAAACTAATCTAGACTGTAGAATTTACCACACTGCTACAAGTTTCAGAATAAGGAGAAGTGTGCACAATTTCTCTGCTGGCTTCAGTTCTGAGCCACATACTCAAAGCAGTCGTTGACAGTGATGCCATACTTACCACCAGTGCTAGAACAAGAGTCCGCACCTTCTCCCCAATCTCAGGTGAGATATCATTGCCAAATTGCTGCAGAGTGGTGAGGAAGCGTTTCAACTTGCTGAGCTGCCGAGCACCACAAGTGGCTGGCAACTGTTGGTTAGTGAGTGCAGATGATGTGGAAGAGGCAGGACCATTGCTGAATCTTTGTGGTGGTGATGGGGCGCCGTTAAGGGTAGGAGGAGAATGGTTGATGCCATTGCTCACTAAAAGAAAAACTTGGTTTAAGTGTAAATCACAATGATCTCTATTATTTTTTCTTTTTTGCATTCTCTCTCATTCATTGATTTGAATTTTGTAAATCACATGATAAAAGTGTATAGAAGACACTGAGTCAGCCCTCAACAACACTGCTTTCAGTGAGACAGATGGCCAGGTAAAAAACGGTAACAGAGTAACACAGACGTGTTAAGAGAGAAGAGCAAAGAGAAGGGACATCTAATTTCCGCAGGTGTGCGGGGTAGGAAGGAAGGGTAGCTTTTAAGACTTCTTGCAATGGGTGGCATGAGTGGAATCTGGTAGAATATGTATTTTCAACACGATATCATCGATCCCAACTTCAGACTCCTGAAGAAGCAAAGCGGTCAATTAAATATATAGCATTTGAACAAGATTATCAGAAAGCAGAGAGTTGCATTAATATGAGAATTTTTTTTCTACTCCATAGGCTTATTGACTTATTCCGACAATGAGATACGTATCTCTTTGACCATTCAGAATATTCACATTCATCAAAATCTGTTTTTCTCTGCCTTGATAGTGCCAAGCGTTTTCTAGATACCATATGGGACACTTTCATTCTATATTTCTGCTCTAATGATAATATATGTGATTAATTACAGTTTTCCTATTTGCCCATTGTTCTGAACACTGATTTCTTGTAGTTTTAATCTGGAACACAACTCTAGAGCTATGGTCTTGGAGGCAAAGTCCCTTCTTCCCTGATGAATGAAATAAATATGCCTAAGTGTAAATAGATTTTTATTTAATCATTTCCAGGCCTGAAAATTTAGCAAAATAAAACAAGGTCTAAAAACATATCACCTGTATTAAGAAGCATTATTTGACAGACAGTGTGACAGAGGAGCCTGGCAGGCTACAGTCCATGAGGTTGCAAAGAGTTGGACAAAACAGAAGCGACTCAGCATGCATGCATGCTGCTCCTAATAGATTTCATAACTTTTCTCTGTGCTATGTACATGTGCCCCTTATTTTACTTACCAAATTATACTTTGTTTTTTCTATATTTGCACCGCCTTGAAAGACTGTCCACTTCTTGATAAATATACATCTGTGTATGTCATAATTAGCTATCAAAGTGTTCATTAAAATGTTGCTAAAAGGCTCACTGCATAAAAGGTTAACAGGCTGAGAAAAAAGATGGCAATCTTTCTACTGTCTTCCAAGAAAGGACATTAGAGCTACTACTGGAAAGGAAGGTTCAACACTCAACCTCAGCAATTCAGAAAATTAGCTGCAAAGGTATACCATTTCTCTTTGTTCATAGAAAGGACCATTGCCGCTGGAGAGCTGCCCTCTTTTGAAGCAATCCATAAATATAATCCATTATCATGCTTTTGGCCACTCTGATACTCCCTCGGGTTGTTTTACAGTTTCTTCAATGAAAGTATGTGGTCACATTTTCTGAAATAACACATTCACCCCTAAACAGTCAAGTATGGAGGTCAAAAGGGCTCAATTTAGTTACACATACAGATACACATAAAATTCTACAGTGTGTATCTTGAAATCTGAATGATAGTCTAGATTTAAATCTGCTACACTTTAAAGACAGTACCTTTATCTAAGGCTGTTTAACTGTGAGATAAAATTTCAGAAATTAAGGGAAAAAGATACCAAACTTCATATCATAAATTCTTGCTCAAATTATTCCAGTTGCCAGTTACTTAACTTCAAATGTTTTCGGACCATAAATAATTAGTACCAAAAAACGTTCCTTTTTTTTTCCCCAAAAAAATGTTCTTATAAACAATTTATTGTTCAAGTTGCTCCACATACTCTCACCAAGACCTGATGCTCTTATTTCTTGTGGGTGTACACAGTACTACATTGGTTTTAGTCCCTTTTTGACTAATAAGGCTGAGCAACTTATTATATATTTATTGTCTAACATGATTGTTATGGACCAGATTATATCCCCCTCTCAAATTCCTATGTTGAAGTTCTGACCCCCAGAGTACCTTAGAACGTGACTGTATTTGGAGACAGGGCCCTTAAAGGTTAAGTGAGGTCATGACCTAGGTGGTAATCCAATATGATTATTGTACTTCTAAGAAGAGGAAGAAGCATCAAGGATGCACATGCACAAGGAAAGGCTATGAGAGGACAGAGCAAGAAGGCAGCTCTCTTCAAGACAGAGAGAGAGCCTCTGAAGAAACCAATCTGCTAACATCTTGATCGTAGGCTTCTAACCTCCTGACCTGTGAAAAAATAAGTTTCTGTCGTTTAAATCACCCAGTCTTTGGAACTTTGTTAAAGCAGCCCTACTAAACTAATAAAACAATCATTTTCTTTTGTAAAAAAAACCTTACCATGACACTCATGGAGTAGTTCAATAATTTTATAAAATTTACCTTGAATCCTAGAAATTAAAAAGTAAAAAATATGAAAACAAAATATTTATACTACTAAATTTCCAAGTACCTGAAAGAGTTATGTGCTATTCTCTGAGGGAAAAAGAAACAATCAAATATATGTGTGTATGTTAATAGCCATTAAGAAAATGTTGAGTAGTATACATAGAAGACTTAATGACATTCATTTAGATCCAAACATCACTGTGAACCACAAACCCAAGTAACTAAGAGGTCTCACATGCTGTAGGAGTGAATGACACGGGCCTGGGTCCTCCGGGATTTATTGGTGGAAGGGGTGGCATGGTGGGAGGTGAGGATCTTGACTGTATCTTCACTTCCACAGGAGATCCAGGCATCGCTGGCACCCTTTTGTCAGCACCAACTGTAAAGAATAAAAGGAATGAAGTCAGAATTTCCTGTAAGATAATAAAAATAGTGACAACAATCTGAAATATTATATTGGTACAAATGTAATTGGCATTTTTGCACTGTTGAAATTTGCTGTTTGATACATTCTTAAATAATTGTGGTTATGTTATATGCACATATCTCTTTTTTTTTTTTTTTTGCTAAGGACATCACTTGCCATTTATTTTATACTTACTTTAGAATAGGAAAATGATGTTAGACAAAAAGTGATTTTCTTATTTGAGTTCAAAATGGGTCATAAAGCAGCAGAGACAACTCATAACATCAACAATTCATTTCACCCAGGAACTACTAATGAACACAGTGCAGGAGTGGATCAAGTTTTGCAAAGGAGATGAGAGCCTTGAAGATGAGGAGTGCAGTGGCCAGCCATCAGAAGTTGACAACTGAGAGCAATCAACGAAGCTGATCCTCTTAGGGCTACATGGGAAGTTGCCCAGGAACTCAACGTCGACCATTCTATGGTCATTTGGCATTTGAAGCAAATTGGAAAGGTGAAAAAGCTTGATAAGCAGGTTCCACATGACCTGACTACAAGTCCAAAAAAACTGTCATTTTTTGAAGTGTTGTCTTCTCTTACTCCACACAACAATGAACCATTTCTTGACTGGATTACGACATGTGATGAAAAGTGGATTTTATATGACAGCTGGTGATAAGCAGCTGAGTGGTTGGACGAGAAGCTCCAAAGCACTTCTCAAAGCCAAACTTGCACCAAAAAATGTTATGGTCACTGTTTGGTGGTCTGCTGCCCGTCTGATCCACTACAGCTTCCTGAATCCCAGGCAAACCATTACACCCAAGAAGTATGCTTAGCAAATCAATGAGATGCACTGAAAACTGCAATGCCTGCAGCTGACATTGGTGAACAGAAAGGGCCCAATTCTTCTCCACAAATTCCGACTGCATGTTGCACAACCAAAGTTTCAAAAGTTGAATGAATTGGGATATAAAGCTTTGCCTCATCCCCCACTGACCTCTGGCCATACAATTACCACTTCAAGCATCGACAACTTTTTGCAGGGAAAATGCTTTCACAATCAGCAGGAGGCAGAAAATGCTTTCCAAGAGTTGCTCGAATCCTGAAGCAACGATTTTTATGCTACAGGAGTAAACAAACTTCTTCCTCTTAGGCAAATATGTGTTGATTGTAATGGTTCCTATTTTGATTAATAAACATGTGTTTGAGCCCAGTTACAATAATTTAAAATTCATGTTTTGAATCTGTAATTACTTTTGTACCAACCTAATACCAACATATCTACCTAGAGGACTGAGAAGTTATGAAAATGATTACTGAGTATAATAGGCTGAATGGTGGTTGCCCAAAATATGTCCACCTCTTAATTCCTTGAACTGTGAATGTTTCCTTATTTGGAAAAAAAAGGTCCTTGAAGATGTAATTAAGGATCTTGAGGGAAGGAGATTATCCTGGATTATCTGAGTAGTTTCTAAATCCAATATGATGTCCTTATAAGAGGATGATGTAAGAGGAGGGAAAACACAGACAGAGGGAAGTCTACCTGAAGACAGACCTAGGCCCACAGAGAGAACACCATGTGACAATGGAGGCAGAGACGGGGAACAGTGCCATCTGCAAGCTAAAGAATGCCAAGAATTGTCTGTAACTACCTGAAATTAGAAGACAAGGAAAAAAAAGATTCTTTCTCTGAGGCCAAGAACGAATCAATTCTGCTGATACCTTGATTTTGGACATCTGGCCTCTTGAACTCTGAGAGAATAGTATTGTTTTAAGTCACTCAGTTTGTGGGACTTTGCTATGGCAATCCTAGGAATCTAAGGCAAGGCAGCAAGGTCAAGGGATTATGTGACACAGAGGTTAACAGTGAGAACAGTGGCTGGGAAAGAAAGAAACAAGGTTAAGAATTCAGCTTATCTCACCTGCATTCTTTCCTGACTTCTTATAAATTAATCAAAGTAGTGGGGGGTGGGTAGCTAATACGGGACTACCCAGACAAGTGAACATCAACTGCATGGCATGGAAACAGAATCACAGCCGGCTGTATATAAATTACTATGGATGATGAAATACATGTTTATATATAACTACTCTAAGTAAGAAAAAAGAGTGGAGACAACATCTCTGATACCAGGCATGTCATTTATGCTGAGTGTCCAAAAAATAAAATAAAAGTAGAGGTGACCCTAAACACAGGCTACTTCATCCACAAGGACAAATTATAGCTGTTTGATAATACTCGATGGCAACAAATCCAGAAAATCAGATTGGGTAGATTAAACCTGACATTAGAATTAGGTCTGAGCTAATATGAATAGGACTTGAAGAGTAATGTTCTAATACCTTCAGAGAGTTATTTTTCCCATTAAAGGAAGCTTGTTAACTACTTGGTTAAAAATAGGGTTAGGGCTACCATAATAATCTTTTAAGTTGAGCTATGTTCCTCTCAGCAATTCCAAGTTTTTCACTTAAGTACCATGCACTTATTCTCTAATAACTGCTAAATTCAAAATACAAGAAATAGAGAAATGAGAATGTTACATCAAAGTTTTCCTTCACTGAGATCATAGCTATAAGCACAATACATCTAAAAGCATTCATGACACTGGCAAAATGGCAAATCTTTGTACACTGAAGGGCACTTTCTCATGAAGAAAATAACCTCCAAAAGAATTTTTCTACTTTAGTTTGCAGTGGCCACATTTTGGGGAGAGAGAAAATGAATACGTAAAGCCAATCAGGGTAGCAATCCCAAGTCACAAATCCCCTGACAAAAATGTGCAGCTCTCTGAGAGCCATGTGGGCAATACTCTGCCAGCCCTTCCATCTCTCTGTCCAGGACATTTTCACTATAAAATTGATGGTCGTCCTGTCTGATTAGTGGGCTAATTAGCTATCACGTTCGCCTTTTTCTTCTTGACAGTGTTTTCTCAATGCCCTTCAGAGCACAGCTGACATGCTTCCAGCTCTTCCATCTGGGCCCAGCTTTCTGGAGGGTGAGGGGAGAAAAGAAGGAAGGAGCTGACAGTTGTCTCGCACTGTTATGTGTTGTGTACAGTGTGCAACAACCTAGAGGAAGCCTTTCTTCAGACCACCTGCCTTTACAGCAAGGGCGCCAAAGGCCCGAGGAGGGCTTAGCAGTGAGATGTGTTTTAGCACTTAAGCACTCGGCAGAATGAAAAAACTCAGGGCAGCCCAACTAAAGAACACTGAATTATATACCAACTGAAAGCTTAGAAAATGGGAAAAACCCAAACTCCAGAGTGTCATTTATAGGTTAAAACTACCTATCCTTTATTCACATCGCTACTCACAAACCTGCAACACTAGTGATATGCCTCAGGTTTCAGGCAACAACACTGTCTAGTAGGAAGAGTATGGGTACAGAAATGGAAAGGTTTGGTGTGAACTGTCATTCTAACAGCCTGCGTGAATTTTATTAAATCACTTCACTTTTCTGGGCCTCATTCTGTTGTAAGGATTAGAGATAATGCTAGTGTTGGATATAAAGAGGGTACTTTTAAGAAAGAATACTAATGATGATTAGAAAACATGAAGACTAGTGCCTGATTTTATCACTTAACTTGCCTTGTGACTATGACCAAGTTAATATTGACATTCGTTCTCAAAGAAAATGAGTATACGATCAACAGTCCATGCGACCTCAGTGATATTGTATGGAAAAAAAATCTAAGAATTAACAGTTGCAAAAGTACCAAGTATAATGTAAGATGATGTTGTGTTGGAAGCTGGGCAGCAAGGCTGCACTTAATAACATAAGAGCTCTATCCTGGCTCATAATCTGATAAATCCAGCAGATGTTCAGATGGTGGATAAGGAGTATATTCCAAAGTAGGCATTTAAACACTCTGCATGGTGGCCAATCACTTTTAGAGTGACATCATTTCTGAATCTTTTTTAAACTGATGTTTTATAAAACATCTAGCTAGATCCCTTGAAAGAACCATCCATATTTTGAGCTCTTTTCAATTCCAGAGAAACTTAAAAGTTCAAACAGAAGAAATTCTATTTTTTAAACTGTCTTGAGTCCATAAACACCACTGCCTGAACCATTAAAGAGACAAAGTATTCAGTCCTAGAAAATTAAATTAACCCTTAGTTTTATCAGAAAGGTTCAACTAGATCTTAAACACAGATTCTAAAGTTCAATGTAATTATTCAGTCACTCTATGAGTTTGTGCTTTGAAAATATCTGAATATATTGGAAATGTGATTGCATGAATTTGCAAAATCACTGATGCTTCACCACCTAACAATATAAAGCCAAACAACTTGAGCTAAAGAAGAAGGATGGGAAAATATGTCTGGGTAATGATTTTACCCCTCCATTGTGAAAGATGCTACAAAAACAGAAAAATGACAAAAGAGAACAAATAATAAACGGTTCTCTGTGTGCAGGTACTGTGATATTCCCCCTCCTCACATAAGGAGTTGAAGAATCAAACATGAAACTAAAGGGCAGAATTATTCTGTAGCTTAAGAGAAAGTAATGCTAAACACAAATGTAAACATCCTGTGTAACTAAGTCCTACTTGGGAAGAATCTTGTATGATAAACTGCCCATAAATAAGGGCATTTACAAGTCATTATAAACTGCTTTTCCATTAGTGTTTTTTTTTTTAATTACAGTTTTTAAAAAATTACTTTGAGGTTGATGAAGGAGCAATAAATACAAGAAATATATATAAGAGAGAAGACAAATGCAACTATGTGAGGGGAAGGAGTGTCCACAAACAACTGCAAAGAGGTGGAAATCCCAGAGCTGCAAAGGGGAATGAAATTTAAGTGAAAGAAGGTGAGCTTGATGCGAAGGAGGCTCTATCACTTATTTGCTGTGTGACTATGGTTTCTGTGACATATCCCCTCCCAATAACCTTGTTAATGATCTTACTTGGCCACTGAGATGTTTACCTATGCTAAGTTCTGGAGAGTAGAAGATATGGTCAAGTGCT